GTGTGAAGTGTGTGAAGTGTGTGAAGTGTGTGAAGTGTGTGAAGTGTGTGAAGTGTGTGAAGTGTGTGAAGTGTGTGAAGTGTGTGAAGTGTGTGAAGTGTGTGCAGTGCGTGCAGTGCGTGCAGTGTGTGCAGTGTGTGCAGTGTGTGGAGTGTGTGGAGTGTGTGAAGTGTGTGAAGTGTGTGAAGTGTGTGAAGTGTGTGAAGTGTGTGAAGTGTGTGAAGTGTGTGAAGTGTGTGAAGTGTGTGAAGTGTGTGCAGTGTGTGCAGTGTGTGTGCAGTGTGTGAAGTGTGCGAAGTGTGTGAAGTGTGTGAAGTGTGTGAAGTGCGTGAAGTGTGTGAAGTGTGCGAAGTGTGTGTGATGTGTGTGATGTGTGTGATGTGTGTGATGTGTGTGAAGTGTGTGAAGTGTGTGAAGTGTGTGAAGTGTGTGAAGTGTGTGAAGTGTGTGAAGTGTGTGAAGTGTGTGAAGTGTGTGAAGTGTGTGCAGTGTGTGCAGTGTGTGCAGTGTGTGAAGTGTGTGAAGTGTGTGAAGTGTGTGAAGTGTGTGAAGTGTGTGAAGCGTGTGAAGTGTGTGATGTGCGTGATGTGTGTGATGTGCGTGATGTGCGTGATGTGCGTGATGTGCGTGATGTGCGTGATGTGCGTGATGTGCGTGATGTGCGTGATGTGTGTGATGTGTGTGATGTGTGTGATGTGTGTGATGTGTGTGATGTGTGTGATGTGTGTGATGTGTGTGATGTGTGATGTGTGTGATGTGTGTATGTGTGTGGTGTGTGTGTGTGATGTGTGATGTGTGATGTGTGTGATGTGTGTGATGTGTGTGATGTGTGTGATGTGTGTGATGTGTGATTTGTGATGTGTGTGATGTGTGTGATGTGTGTGCTGTGTGATGTGTGTATGCGTGTGTGGTGTGTGTGTGTGATGTGTGTGATGTGTGTGCTGTGTGATGTGTGTGGTGTGTGTGGTGTGTGTGTGATGTGTGTGCTGTGTGATGTGTGTGATGTGTGTGATATGTGTGGTGTGTGATGTGTGATGTGTGTGTGGTGTGTGTGATGTGTGTGTGATGTGTGTGTGATGTGTGTGTGTGATGTGTGTGTGTGTGTGTGTGTGTGTTGTGTGTGTGTGATGTGTGTGTGATGTGTGTGTGATGTGTGTGTGATGTGTGTGTGATGTGTGTGTGATGTGTGTGTGTGATGTGTGTGTGATGTGTGTGATGTGTGTGATGTGTGTGATGTGTGTGATGTGTGGTGTGTGTGGTGTGTGTGGTGTGTGTGGTGTGTGTGGTGTGTGTGGTGTGTGTGGTGTGTGTGGTGTGTGTGGTGTGTGTGGTGTGTGTGGTGTGTGTGGTGTGTGTGGTGTGTGTGTGTGTGTGAATGTGTAAATGCGTGAATGTGTGAATGTGTGAATGTGTGAATGTGTGTGTGTGTGTTTCCCCCCTGAGCACAGGCGGCGGAGGAGCCTTGTCCCTCCCCGTTCCCTCGTCCCTGGCGCCCCCCTCCCCATCTTCCCGCCCTCGTCCGAGCCTCGCCTCATGCCTCTCCTTCTGATTACCCCAAAAAGAACCCATAACCCTTTGGCAGGGGACCTAAGTTGGGAGGGTCGAAAACATCATGGATAGCGGGTCTGCTCTGCAGATGTATTAGACATAACCACCCAATATCATGATCCCTAATGCGAAGACGGAGACCTCAGTGAGGCTACGTCTTCATCGTGTTATGAGGGTTAGGGTTCTTTTATCCTCGATGGTCCTCCTCTCTCCGCTCCCCCGGTTAGAAGGCAACTGCTGGCAGGTCCTCGTCGAAGGACGAGGGAGAATTGAGCCCCATTGGGGGGCTGCTACGTCGGATTAGGCCGCGGAGTAAAGCGGGATTAAGTGGAAGTGAGCCAGATTAAATAGGATTTCGGACCTGGGCAAATTCAGACTTTGACCTCCCAAGAGTTGCCCCCGAGCCCCCGTGCCTCATGTGCCTCCTCCGCCGAGATCGATACCCATCTGTCGGAAGAAGTAGGTAGAAACATGAAGTAGGAAGGAATTGAAAGTAGATTGGGTGTCCGCCCGCCCCTTAAAGAAGACGGACAATGTGAAGCCACTCGATCATTGAAGTAGGAAGGCGCCTCAAATAGATTGGAACCTGGGAATCCCCAAATGCCTACTTTCAACGACCGGTGAGTACATATACACACTGCCTCCTGGCCACGCTCATCCTGAACTCGACAGGGGTGTATTCGCCAGGCCCTCCTGGCTTGGTAAGGAGGGCGTATACGCAGCTGCTGGTTTCAGAATGGGCCTGGCCAGGGAGAAGTGGATATGTATAGATCTCGTCGCCCTACCCCATACCTCCCTCCTCCCCTTCTCCCACCATACCTCCCCTCCGCCCCCAACACCTCTCCTCCTGGATCGCCCCCCCTTTCTCCCCCGTGCCTGGATGCGCCCGAGGCCCCTGAGGCCCCTCCCAAGCCTCCCCGACCGCCCCATCGGCGCCCACCTGATCCGAGGCGCCCGAGGTGGTATCCATCAAGATCTTCTTGGCCTGGGCGATGGTCTTCAGCTCCTGCGCCACTGGTCAGTGGTTCGCGGAGGTTTCTGGCTCTTTTCGCGGATGTGCTTCCACTTGTTACCTTAGGCACCGAGTGAAGTATCTTGAAAGTCCCTCAGGGTCCGCAGTTGTAGGAGTGCATATACCTTTCACGAGCCCCAGACCCAAATTGTCAAAATTTCTGGTAGCTACCAGACGCTCTCTAGGATCCCCGCGTGACCTTCCCAAAGGCAATGGACGCGTGGTTGGGAGTTCGCGCATCGCACATGTCCGAAGACGGGCCCCGAGGAGGAGGTCCCAGACCCCAGGGAGGGGGGGGGGGCGGGGGTCAGGGGGAGGAGGAGCCCCCGAAGGGGAAAAGGGGGGGTTAGCAGAACGAGCTCCCTGGACCACTCACGCCTAGAGGGCTGGTGATCTTCTCCCTCTCAGAGTCTTGGGTGCCTGCTGGGCCGCCTCGGGGGCCCCTGGGTCCAAGGAGCCTCTGAGGTCGGCTTGGACGCCCATGAAACCGAAAAGGTGAGCAGGCTAAATTCGTACGACAACTTAAGACTTGCGATGTGACTCTGCCTTGTTGGGCTGTCCACTGGGGCCCCCGAGACGGCCCAAGAGGCCCCCAAGAGCGCCCTAGAGCGGTCGCTCTGCGAGGCGTCCGAAGGTCCTCTGTTGCCCCCCCAGTGGCTCCAGGAGGGCCCCAAAGCCCGACATGGCCTCCAACATCGCCACAGATACCCCAAGATGGTCCAAGATAGCCTCAAGCATGTCTCCAGGAGCCCCAATATCGCCCCCAGGACGGTCCCAAAGTGCCCTCCAAGCCTCCCAGGGAGGCCACCAGGAGTCCAAAATCTGCCAAAACCACTGGATTGTTCAATGTCGGTTGCCTTCTCGCCTTTTCTCTTCCGATGGGCAAGCGGGTCCTCAAGATGGTTCCCAGATAGCCCTGGTGCAGGCGGGTCCTGGACCCGGGGTTGTCCTGGTTCGCTGCTCTTTGACGGCCACGAGGGCCCCCAGACCCCGCCGCTTTGTGCTGAGTGGATCGAGGTAAAGACGAGGGGGGAAGGGAGGAGGGGTCGGAGTTCGGAGCAGAGAGCGGCGAGCGGCGAGAGGCGGCGGACAGGAAGATAATAAGAGAGGCGTCAGGAGGGAGCAGGGAGCGGCGAGCGGCGAG